GCCCTCCGCCTTGCTGCCCCAATCCACACCAGATATAGGTGTATTTGCAGCGAGGTGGTGGCTGATAGGTATGGCCACCATGGCCTACTCTGCCAAAGCACAGGGGGATAGCACTCGAGGCACAGTGAAGTTAACGACATCATCAAGAGGAGCCTCACCACAGCTGGATGCCCAGCTGAAAGAGAGCCCCGTTACCTAACGCCCCGTAACTCTGATGCTCTTATTGGTCGCTCGGATGGTATCACAGTGAACCCCCTGGAAGAATGGCAAGCAGTTGGTATGGGACTACACGTGCGTATCAACCCTGGCTAACACCTACATTAACCTCAGTGTTGCACAACCAGGTGGCGCTGCCACCCACAGGGAAGCAGCCAAATCTTGTAAGTATAGAGAACTGGATCACCACTACAATTTTGTCCCCATTGCTTCTGAGACACTCGGCGCCTGGGGTAAAAGTGCTACCAGTTTTTTGAAGGAACTGGGTTCTAGGCTCATTGAAACAACAAGGGACCCAAGAGCTGCAAGCTTTCTTTTCCAGCGCCTCAGCGTGGCGATACAGAGGGGAAACGCGCACTGCATCCAGGGTTCCTGCCCGCCATCTGAGGAGCTGGAGGAACTCGACAACCTATGATAACCATCTTTGTAACCTATATGTAACTCCTTTTTTGTAGCAAAGTTCAAATAAAGCAAATATATATGTGTACATACAAAAGAATGGGGGTGGTAGGAGATAATATTAGTGTTCAGTGAGAAACCACAAGGTCTCCTCTGAATACTTTTTATTTTCTTCTCCGAGGCCATGGGTCCCCACATTGGCACCAGAGGTGGTACCCTATATATATATATATATATATATATATATATATATATATATATATATATATATATATATATATATATATATATATATATATATATATATATAGTCGTAGTACATAGCCACTCAAAACATTCTTGGATAGGCCTATGCAGAGAGTAAACAAGCAGAGCGTTTGTGTACAGCGGAACGGTAGTTCTGGCATCAACACTAATTGCTTCAGCGTCGGTAAAATGGGACACGGTGATCAAGTACACGGTACACAAGGACACGGTACACAAGGACACGGTGATCAAGTACACGGTACACAAAGACACGGTACACAAAGACACGGTACACAAGGACACGGTACACAAGGACACGGTACACAAGGACACGGAACACAAGGACACGGAACACAAAGACACGGTACACAAAGACACGGTACACAAAGACACGGAACACAAAGACACGGAACACAAAGACACGGTACACAAAGACACGGTACACAAAGACACGGTACACAAGGACACGGTACACAAGGACACGGTACACAAGGACACGGTACACAAAGACACGGTACACAAAGACACGGTACACAAAGACACGGTATACAAAGACACGGTACACAAAGACACGGTACACAAAGACACGGTACACAAAGACACGGAACACAAAGACACGGTACACAAAGACACGGTACACAAAGACACGGTACACAAAGAAACGGTACACAAAGACACGGTACACAAAGACACGGAACACAAAGACACGGAACACAAAGACACGGTACACAAGGACACGGTACACAAAGACACGGTACACAAAGACACGGTACACAAAGACACGGTACACAAAGACACGGAACACAAAGACACGGAACACAAAGACACGGTACACAAAGACACGGTACACAAAGACACGGTACACAAGGACACGGTACACAAGGACACGGTACACAAAGACACGGTACACAAGGACACGGTACACAAAGACACGGTACACAAAGACACGGTACACAAAGACACGGTACACAAAGACACGGAACACAAAGACACGGTACACAAAGACACGGTACACAAAGACACGGTACACAAGGACACGGAACACAAGGACACGGAACACAAAGACACGGTACACAAAGACACGGTACACAAAGACACGGAACACAAAGACACGGAACACAAAGACACGGTACACAAGGACACGGTACACAAAGACACGGTACACAAGGACACGGTACACAAGGACACGGTACACAAAGACACGGTACACAAGGACACGGTACACAAAGACACGGTACACAAAGACACGGTGCACAAAGACACGGAACACAAAGACACGGAACACAAAGACACGGTACACAAGGACACGGTACACAAGGACACGGTACACAAGGACACGGTACACAAGGACACGGTACACAAAGACACGGTACACAAGGACACGGTACACAAGGTAAACTGGAAAACTTGTTTCCCAATGCAGGTTTCCAAATGATCACGTGAATAATAGTTTACAAAAATTCATGTTCACGGGTTCGTAGTACACTGAAACACAGGTACACAGGTGACAAGAGGAGCAGGTACACAGGTGACAAGAGGAGCAGGTACACAGGTGACAAGAGGAGCAGGTACACAGGTGACAAGAGGAGCAGGTACACAGGTGACAAGAGGAGCAGGTACACAGGTGACAAGAGGAGCAGGTACACAGGTGACAAGAGAAGCAGGTACACAGGTGACAAGAGGAGCAGGTACACAGGTGACAAGAGGAGCAGGTACACAGGTGACAAGAGGAGCAGGTACACAGGTGACAAGAGGAGCAGGTACACAGGTGACAAGAGGAGCAGGTACACAGGTGACAAGAGAAGCAGGTACACAGGTGACAAGAGGAGCAGGTACACAGGTGACAAGAGGAGCAGGTACACAGGTGACAAGAGGAGCAGGTACACAGGTGACAAGAGGAGCAGGTACACAGGTGACAAGAGGAGCAGGTACACAGGTGACAAGAGGAGCAGGTACACAGGTGACAAGAGGAGCAGGTACACAGGTGACAAGAGGAGCAGGTACACAGGTAACAAGAGGAGCAGGTACACAGGTGACAAGAGGAGCAGGTACACAGGTGACAAGAGGAGCAGGTACACAGGTGACAAGAGGAGCAGGTACACAGGTAACAAGAAGACCAGGTACACAGGTGACAAGAAGACCAGGTACACAGGTGACACGAAGACCAGGTACACAGGTGACACGAAGACCAGGTACACAGGTGACACGAAGACCAGGTACAGAGGTGACACGAAGACCAGGTACACAGGTGACACGAAGACCAGGTACACAGGTGACAAGAAGACCAGGTACACAGGTGACACGAAGACCAGGTACACAGGTGACACGAAGACCAGGTACACAGGTGTCAAGAAGACCAGGTACACAGGTGACAAGAAGACCAGGTACACATGTGACAAGACAAGCAGGTACACAGGTAACAAGACAAGCAGGTACACAGGTGACAAGACAAGCAGGTACACAGGTGACAAGACAAGCAGGTACACAGGTGACAAGACAAGCAGGTACACAGGTGACAAGAAGACCAGGTACACAGGTGACAAGAAGACCAGGTACACAGGTGACAAGAAGACCAGGTACACAGGTAACAAGACAAGCAGGTACACAGGTGACAAGAAGACCAGGTACACAGGTAACAAGACAAGCAGGTACACAGGTGACAAGAAGACCAGGTACACATGTAACAAGACAAGCAGGTACACAGGTGACAAGAAGACCAGGTACACAGGTAACAAGACAAGCAGGTACACAGGTGACAAGAAGACCAGGTACACAGGTAACAAGACAAGCAGGTACACAGGTGACAAGAAGACCAGGTACACAGGTAACAAGACAAGCAGGTACACAGGTGACAAGAAGACCAGGTACACAGGTACACGGCTACTCCCCCGCCCCCCCACCTTCAGGCCAGCAATAAAGGTGTGTGTGTGTGTGTGTGTGAAACAAAGGCACTCTGCACTTGACTGCTAATAGACTAGAACACTCGCTGACAGCTTAAAACGAGCAGGGGCAGAGCGTGTGAGCGTTTGGTGTGTGTGTGAGGGTGGATAAGGTAGCCGCATGTGGGTGGCTGTGCCTGAGGCCACCACTCAACTACCCGCATGTGGATGCGTCAGGCTGACGAGGCTAATGAGGAATCCACATGGGAATGCAAGTGGCAGACGAGCAAGTGGAACATGCATATGTGACTATCCGTACACACACACACACTGACACATACACACACAAATATGTGTGTGTGTGTGTCTGTTTTTCTGTCTGTCTTCCCGGGTCAGTCTGTCTGCCCTCTCTCTCTCTCTCTCTCTCTCTCTCTCTCTCTCTCTCTCTCTCTCTCTCTCTCTCTCTCTCTCTCTCTCTCTCTCTCTCTCTCTCTCTCTCTCTCTCCTCTCCCCCGCTACACTAGACTTCACTGGCTGATGGTATCAAAACCTCATCTGTCAGGCCAACACTGTTGATGAGTGTTGTTGAGGATGTCGACATGACCTTAGAGGAGACACCTGCACTGAGACAAGCAGCATCCTTTCACCCGGCATCACGGACCCAGCCTCACCTGTCCTCACCAGGACCCAGCCTCACCTGTCCTCACCAGGACCCAGCCTCACCTCTCGTCACCATACAACCTCACCCTATCACCAACAACACCATACAAACAACCATACTCCTGTATTATCAAATTAACAGATAGCTAAAACAGTATCCGGATACATCGTATAAAAAGAACGCCACTGAGAACTCCACATCTCCCCAAATATCTGTCCAGGGGAGTAAACAAACTTTCTCTTCCCGAGCAAACACGGAAACAGCATTGCATTTACCTAAGTACCAGCCGAGTCCTTGCTGGAAAACAACCAAAAGAGAGAGAGAGACATTTTCGCAAAGAAATCACAATAAAATGATCTGCATGAGAAATTATTTGTGGAAAAACGCTGGTATAGAACCAGCGTTCTGGTTCCCTCCAGACACGCTATTAATTAAGAGTGAAAGTTTGTGACCGATGCAGCTGACCGCTTGGCAGGGACTCGTGTCAGACAAGGTGACTGTTTGTGTCCGAGTGTAGCGCTTGAATACCATGTCTCTAATTCACGATAACTTGATGGCAAAGTTTAGAGAGGTTGTAGAGGGTCCAATAACGAGCTAAACTTTTCTTTGGTCGAAAGTTCTTGCAACTGACTTTCGTGCATTTAAGCGCCTTAATGAGCTATTGAGTATAAATTATGCCTAAATATATGTTATATATGTATATATATATATATATATATATATATATATATATATATATATATATATATATATATATATATATATATATATATATATATATATATATATATATATATCATCCCACAAGTGTCACATTCCAGCATGGCATTTTCCCTGAAGCCCTTGGTGTCGTATATTCTAAGTGTCACACTTCACACTGATCATTAGTACCTTTTACTCTGATAAAAAGTGACAAAGAAATCCCCTTCACTCCTTCAAGGTGAAGCAGGACACCTTTCACACCGCTCAAGCACATGATCTGATGTTCACTGAGTAATATTCATATTCTCTTCGAGTCATCTTAAGCTGCAGTTAAGCTGCATCCTCGTTGTCTCGAGACATGGTCTTATAACTATGGTCCTTGGGACACCCTTGCCGAATCATTTTACTCCACTTGCTTGACACACATGACTCTCGAATCACTGCACGCATTTAAACCACAGCCTCTGAATCACTGCACGCATTTAAACCACAGCCTCTGAATCACTGCACGCATTTAAACCACAGCCTCTGAATCACTGCACGCATTTAAACCACAGCCTCTGAATCAAGAACCTTGACTCATGGTCAATAATTGGTGTTCTAAGATTCATGGACCTAATTTCCTATCTTTCGATTCAATGGGATAGAGAGAGAGAGAGAGAGAGAGAGAGAGAGAGAGAGAGAGAGAGAGAGAGAGAGAGAGAGAGAGAGAGAGAGAGAGAGAGAGAGAGAGAGAGAGAGAGAGAGAGAGAGAGAGAGAGAGAGAGAGAGAGAGAGAGAGAGAGAGAGAGAGAGAGAGAGAGAGAGAGAGAGAGAGAGAGAGAGAGAGAGAGAGAGAGAGATGAAGAATATTTATATTTTAATATCCAAAGTGAAGCACCATATCATTAATTTATTCATTAAAATTTCCAAAGAGCATGAATGTGACGAGACCAGTAGCACGCTTCGCTTCCACGAAGTCTACGCTCGTCACTACCCACATTTCACAACATCATTAACATGAGTCCATACATGAAGACTTCGAGTGATGAATGACTTCATTACACGATACTCGACACCTTACAGAGTGGTAACGAACATTTAACATATTTTCAGACGTTTCGGAGAAATATCTTCACTTTAGTATTCCATAAAGTTCAGGTTCATTTACGTTAGGTAGTGCCAAATGTGCCATTTGCTATCGTTCAGGTATCGTTAAATGAAGGAAATACCTGTAGCTTCCTTGATATCATGATGTCAGTATATGTGTTGATATTATGAAGTCACTCTCGGTATTGTTACTGATATCTTAAAGGCACTCTCAATATCATTATTGAAATATTAAAAGGTACTTTCAGTATCTTTGTTGATATCACGAAGACACTATTAGTATTTTTATTGATAACATGAACGCACTATCACTGTTGATGTCATGAAGGCATTACAAGTATCTTTGTTGATGTAATAAAGTTGTTTTCAGTAGCTTTGCCAATATCATGAAGGCACTCTCAGTATCTTTGTTGATATCACGAAAGCACTCTCAATATCTTTGCTGTTATTATGAAAGCACTATAGTATCTTTGTTGATATAATGATAGCACTTTCACTATCTTTGTTGATATCACGAAAGCATTCTCAATATCTTTGCTGTTATTATGAAAGCACTATAGTATCTTTGTTGATATAATGATAGCACTTTCACTATCTTTGTTGATATCATGAAAGCCCTCTCAGTATTTTTGTTGATATTATGAAGGCACTTATAAGTATCAGTATTTTGATTGATATCATGAAACCATTCTCAGTATCTTCGTTCTAAATTATTTAGACTGTTGTAAATATGAGAGGAAACGCGAAAGTATTGTCTCTTTCAACTATAAATTTTATCTATATGAAAAGATCACCTTCGTCAATGCACTAACTTCTTGAACTGGTCGGTACAGCAATGGCCTCGTTTCTTACAGGTCGGCGTTCGATCCCCAGATGATTTACCATGCTGGGCACTATTCCTTCCCTTCGTTCTATCCCAGTTCAATGACCACACATCCATTCCAAGTGCAATATACCCGTTCAGGCTTAGTGGTCTCTCAGGATAATTACTCTACTCACTTTCAGGTGGAAGGCTTCCAGCAATTACCGTCTAAGGGTCTGTAATCAACTTTTCCTTATCCCAAATGGAAGAGCTCCAAGCATTTTAAACCGGGACGCAATTTCTAAGAAAATTACTAGTTCGTAATTTGATACTTTGAGGCAAGGAGAGACAATATTGTGGTGGGTGGAGGCTGGAGCCTGGAGAAGCTGGGTCATTTGGAGATGAGTTATGTATATCCTTGTTAATGAGGACATCTGTTGTACTGCTGTGAGTACTCACCTATTTTTTCCTGCAAGATCGAGCTTTAGCTCTTCGACCTGCCTTTCTAGCCGCTAGTTGTCAAATGGAATGACTTCTGCGTTATTTTTTTCTCAAATCTGCTTATGAAATTAGGAATGAAGTTCGCTTCAACAACTTGCTTATTTAGTTCATTCCATTTTCCCACTGCCCTTACGCTAAAAGAAACCTTTCTAACATTTTCATGACTTATCCGCTTTTCAAGCTCAAGCTTCCATCCGTGCCCTCTTATTCTATTGGTATTCCTTTTGCACATTCCTTTAAGTATTTTGTACGTCAAAGTCATGTGTCCTCTCCCCACACTCTTTCTAGTGATGCTAGGTCTAGTTTTTTCAGTCTTCCTTCATGCTCCATCTATCGTTGCTAACCTTTGAACCTTTTCTTGTTTTCTTATGTATTTTTCTAGATGAAGGCTCCATCTCGATCCATACTGTGACCCTTTGACACCTCTCTGTTAGGTATTCTCTTACACATGTCGCAGCGCTTCCACTTACTCCCGCCTGCCTCTCAACTTTACGAAGAAGTCTTTTGTGTGGACTCTTCAGCACGGGTGGGACACGAACAAGGGGACACAGGTGGAAACTTAGTACCCAGGTGAGCCACAGAGACGTCAGAAAGAATTTTTTCAGCGTCATCAAAGGCTCTAAGGCAGTCCAGAAATACACAATTTGCCCAACCTTCTCTGTCTTTGTCTTATTTTTGTTGTCTTGGAATTCCTCCCTAGTGTTTTACTAGTCTTACGCTAATTATATATTTGAGTACCTTGCAGGAGATGCTTGTCAGTGATGCTGGTCTAAGGTCTGGTGCCTCGTACAGTCTCCTTTCTTATATATTGGTACGCTATTCGCCATCTTTCAACAGCAAGGTTGAAAAATAGACGAAGTATACTGAAGGCCTTTGCAGCTTCCTTTCACACCAATTGAACAATATTATCTTCTCCAACAGCTTTATTTTCTTCCATTGATACTAGATGTCTCATTATTTTCGCAGCTGCTATCTCAACATTTGTCAGTCTGTGATCCAATTTTCTGGTTGTGATTTAGCTTGCCTACGATCAACAGTTTAGCTCTCATTCTGTGCTGCTGTTGCTACCCTTAGCTGTTCATCTATTTATGTGCTGTTTGTGTCCTCATATTCCTCTCTGGGGTTTGTGTTGTTTGCTGTGGTGTTGTATATTACGACGACCTCTATAATGTCCCATCTGCTGTCAGAGTTCTGGTGATGTCGTCTGTGAATCCAATCATATTAATATCTTCAAGTTCCACAACCGTCTGTTTTCTTTTCACCAAAAGTTCAACTCTTAAATTCCCTTCCTCTCGCCTATCCTTATATCTTATCCCTATATCCCTTCAGAGTGTTTTATAGCCTTAATGGTTAGTGCTTTCTCCTTACCTAAATATATATCCATGTCTCTGCCATCTTTCTTCTCTTATTACCTGGTATCCTCCCTGGAACTATATCTTCCAACATCGTCAACAAAGATATGAGGCTCTTTTTCTCTAACACTTTCTTGTATTTATTCTGCTTTGTACATATTGTTGTATGGTACTTGAAGGTTCGTCTTGGACACAGTGTTGCCTGAGTTCTCAGAGCACTACTTTTGATCTGTTTCTTCTGGTCTGTGATACAAATGAGAGTTGACTGAAGTACAGCTTGTGATGATTGGTTGTGAGTGACAAAGATGATGCAAAGACAGGGACCGAGGGGCAAGGGAGGGCTGAGGACCAAGTGGGGGCTGAGTGATGGGCAGAAGGGGGAGGGGGAGGGGAGTTGACTAGGAGATGTAGGCTATAGAACAAGAGAGAGTCTGAGGGAAGTAAAGAGCCACGGTGTAGTGAGAGGCAGAAGGGGAGAGTTGGGGAGAGGTGTGGGACAATGGTAACAGTGTGAATGTTTGTGTGTGGTGGTGGCAGTGGAGGAGAGTGGAGGGGTGGATGGTTTGTGTGTGGTGGTGGCAGTGGAGGAGAGTGGTAGGGTGGATGGTTTGTGTGGGGTGGTGGCAGTGGAGGAGAGTGGTAGGGTGGATGGTTTGTGTGTGGTGGTGGCAGTGGAGGAGAGTGGTAGGGTGGATGGTTTGTGTGTGGTGGTGGCAGTGGAGGAGAGTGGTAGGGTGGATGGTTTGTGTGGGGTGGTGGCAGTGGAGGAGAGTGGTAGGGTGGATGGTTTGTGTGGGGTGGTGGCCGTGTAGGAGAGGGGGGGGGTAGGGAGGATGGAATACATGACAGCCTAGTGGTAATCTACATACTTTACTGTATATGTCTATGAAGTTTAGCTCTATTTTCCTGCTATTCCACTTTCGTTAATTTTGTTAACTGAAGTATAATAGTCTTCCACATCTCTGAACATACATACTGAAGATCACACACATTCTTTTGGTGCTTCTGTGTAGGGAAACTGCACCAGAAGAGGTCAGCCTCCGCTGTGGTTCCTGCTATATGGCCCAATTCTGTGTATCACCAGGATTTCATCTCTCGCCAGTTCAGCATCCAAGCTTTCAAAATCTCTCCTAATCCCATCCTATCCCAAAGCTGTCTTTCCTGCTCGGATATCATTTTCACTTCCATTAATCCTTGAATATCACTGTTCTCTTTTTAATTAACTCTCAGTCAGACAATCTCCTATCCCCTCGCGTCGCTCCATTTCATGTTCTTGTTTCTCCTCTTTCTCTTTGTTGATCTTCATTCTCTCATGTTTAACCTCCAGTTTATTAAGTCTATCCTCCTGTTCTTCCCCCATCCTGGTACCTCCCCCCCCCCTGGCTGTGCAACCTTCAGGATCTTTAACTTTACTTTTTAGCCTTCTGATTACTCTTTCTCTCACTGTTCTCATCTTTCTTCTTTCATCCTTGTAATAGTATTCATTCCACAATCTCTATTTCCCCATCTCTTATTCCTAATTATTATTTAATGATTTATTGTGTTCAAGAAACAGTTCTCTAGCTATTTGTTCTGTCTCTCCTATTCTATCACTGCCTTCTCTACTACGCTATTCTCTTCCTCTCCTCACATTCTAATATTGCCCTTTCCACGCCACTATTCTCTCAGTTCAAGGTTAATATATCTATGTTACTCCTTTATCTGGTCATGTTTTCTATATCTATCACTGCCAAGTACACGCTGCAGCCGGTAGACATCCCAGCAACCTCCTGCACTCCTCCTGCGCACCACAATAGGGGGGTGAATCACCAGTAGCAGTTCTCCGAATAATTCCTTGGTTATTCCTCGCACCCTCATGACCACGCGATCTATTAGTGTTTGCACTTCCCTTCAGCGTTACGTTACCCGATATTTTGTCTCGTTGTCGCATGCGTTTTCGGCCTATTTTCATTATGGATAATAATTTCTAGAGTTATGTTGTCGAACAAGTGCATAGAACCTATGCAGGCGATGAGACACAATAACGTGGCTGAAGAATCGACTTGAGAATGGTCCAGGACGGACCGAAACGTCACGTCCCTTCACCTTCTAGTGCATAGAACCTACTTTGTTGACACCTCACTGAGGAACAGGGGCCAGATTCACAAAGCAGTTACGCAAGTACTTACGAACGTGTACATCTTTTCTCAATCTTTGGCGGATTTGTTTACAATTATTAGACAGTTAATGAGCTCCGAAGCACCAGGAGGCTGTTTATAACAATAATAACAGTTGACTGTGAAGTTTTCATGCTTGTAAACTGTTTAATAAATGTAAACAAAGACGTCAAAGATTGAGAAAAGATGTACACCTTCGTAAGTGCTTGCATAACTGCTTCGTGAATCTGGCTCCAGATCCTGACGCGTCTAGCCACTAACTGTGTGTGTGTAGCTCTTGGCCTCCGACTTTCTAAGCGTTGGTTATCTAATATACTGACTCCCGCCCTAATTTCATCTATCATATCTACTACATATCTCTCGAACACACACAGATTCACAGGTATGTATTTACTGTTTGTTTGCAGGAGTATACATATGTACGCGGGTGTTTAAACGATTGATATTGATTGCGGAAGATTTCAGATGCACATATATGGGTACAGGTGACTAGACGCAGCTGAAGATGCTTCAGACGCAGCTGAAGATGCTTCAGACGCAGCTGAAGATGCTTCAGACGCAGCTGAAGATGCTTCAGACGCAGCTGAAGATGCTTCAGACGCAGCTGAAGGCAGATGAAATCTTCTATCAAATGTTAAGATGGTGAAAGACGGAGAGAGAAGGTACGCAAGAGTCAAGATGATTCATAACAAACTCCCATTTCTTTGAACGGGAATAGATCGCTGTGGAGAGCCAAGGATACGTGAGACAATATTAAATAAACGAGTATAAACTTTTGTTTGGATAGATATAAATATATATTGAAATTTCTACACACAGATTTTCCAGGCACTAGAATATAACGACCAAAGTTATACACAGTTCGTGGAACGTGGAACTGACAGCTGCCGGAACATGTTGAGAGCCGTCCGGATATCGTCCAATCCATCAAAACACATGACTATCTGTAAGACTGAAGGAGGTGAATTGAAGTTATGTTAATACAGGTAAAATAGACGACTTGGGGAATTAAACAAGTGTTTCAGACTGCGGGAATAATGAATAGCTGATTGGCATAGTAATACGCTTATGTGAAGGGACACAAGGTTGACAGCGGGTCCTGAAGACTTCTGTCGACCTCAGTAAGTGGCTTAAAGACGTGTTGACTCTTGCGTGTTGTATGTGGAGCTCTGTGAGCAGTCACTCATAAGAGCAGGCGACGGCGGATGGTAAGCGTCAGCTGAGGTGAAGCGCAAAGCAGAGGAGACGACAATTGTGCAGCAGACGTGAAGACGCAGCTGCAGCAGCAGACGAGAAGACGCAGCTGCAGCAGCAGACGAGAAGACGCAACTGCAGCAGCAGACGAGAAGACGCAGCTGCAGCAGCAGACGAGAAGACGCAGCTGCAGCAGCAGACGAGAAGACGCCGCTGCAGCAGCAGACGAGAAGACGCCGCTGCAGCAGCAGACGAGAAGACGCAGCTACAGCAGCAGACGAGAAGACGCAGCTGCAGCAGCAGACGAGAAGACGCCGCTGCAGCAGCAGACGAGAAGACGCCGCTGCAGCAGCAGACGAGAAGACGCAGCTACAGCAGCAGACGAGAAGACGCAGCTGCAGCAGCAGACGAGAAGACGCCGCTGCAGCAGCAGACGAGAAGACGCCGCTGCAGCAGCAGACGAGAAGACGCCTCTGCAGCAGCAGACGAGAAGACACCGCTGCAGCAGCAGACGAGAAGACGCCGCTGCAGCAGCAGACGAGAAGACGCAGCTGCAGCAGCAGACGAGAAGACGCAGCTGCAGCAGCAGACGAGGAGACGCAGCTGCAGCAGCAGCCGAGAAGACGCAGCTGCAGCAGCAGACGAGAAGACGCAACTGCAGCAGCAGACGAGGAGACGCAGCTGCAGCAGCAGACGAGAAGACGCAGCTGCAGCAGCAGACGAGAAGACGCAGCTGCAGCAGCAGACGTGAAGACGCAACTGCAGCAGCAGACGAGGAGACGCAGCTGCAGCAGCAGACGAGAAGACGCAGCTGCAGCAGCAGACGTGAAGACGCAGCTGCAGCAGCAGACGAGAAGACGCAACTGCAGCAGCAGACGAGGAGAAAGACTCACAGGGGCGACAGAGCAGCAAAACACGGAGATAGAGAAGGAACTCTTGACGTTAAAATCAGGGGAGTAAGAGGCAGAAGAATGTTTTCCTCTCATCCCTCTGTCAAATCCAGCGAGCCGCAGAGGATTGAATCCCTCAATATGGAGATTGTAATAGGATTAAAGATTTCCAATTTGTTAAAACACCGAGAGCTTTTTCCCAGCCGGAACAAAATATAATCAGAGTGTGTTTTCCTGAACCTGATTCACAGCCGTCCAGGAACAACGTGAAAAGATCAATTGGCATATAAATAGATTTTTTTCTCTCGCTGTTGTGTATTAAACGGAGATTTTTCTTGCTGTTTTGTTTTGTTTTTTTGGTTATGGGATTATAGGAGGGGCGAGTGTGTGTGTGTGTGTGTGTGTGTGTGTGTGTGTGTGTGTGTGTGTGTGTGTGTGTGTGTGTGTGTGTGTGTGTGTGTGTGTGTGTGTGTGTGTGTGTATGTGTGTGTGTGTGTGTGTGTGTGTGTGTGTGTGTGTGTGTGTGTGTGTGTGTGTGTGTGTGTGTGTGTGTGTGTGTGTGTGTGTGTGTGTGTGTGTGTGTGTGTGTGTGTGTGTGTGTGTGTGTGTGTGTGTGTGTGTGTGTGTGTGTGTGTGTGTGTGTGTGTGTGTGTGTGTGTGTGTGTGTGTGTGTGTGTACTCACCTATATGTGCTTGCAGGATCGAGCATTGACTCTTGGATCCCGCCTTTCGAGCATCGGTTGTTTACAGCAATGACTCCTGTCCCATTTCCCTATCATACCTGGTTTTAAAATTATGAATAGTATTTGCTTCCACAACCTGTTCCTGAAGTGCATTCCATTTCCCCACTACTCTCACGCTAAAAGAAAACTTCCTTACATCTCTGTGACTCATCTGAGTTTCAAGCTTCCATCCATGTCCTCTCGTTCTGTTACTATTCCGTGTGAACATTTCGTCTATGTCCACTCTGTCAATTCCTCTGAGTATCTTATACGTTCCTATCATGTCCCCCCTCTCCCTTCTTCTTTCTAGTGTCGTAAGGCACAGTTCCCTCAGGCGCTCTTCATACCCCATCCCTCGTAGCTCTGGGACGAGTCTCGTTGCAAACCTCTGAACCTTTTCCAGTTTCATTATATGCTTCTTCAGATGGGGACTCCATGATGAGGCGGCATACTCTAAGACTGGCCTTACGTAGGCAGTGTAAAGCGCCCTAAATGCCTCCTTACTTAGGTTTCTGAATGATGTTCTAACTTTTGCCAGTGTAGAGTACGCTGCTGTCGTTATCCTATTAATATGTGCCTCAGGAGATAGATTAGGTGTTACGTCCACCCCCAGGTCTCTTTCACGCGTCGTTACAGGTAGGCTGTTCCCCTTCATTGTGTACTGTCCCTTTGGTCTCCTATCTCCTAGTCCCATTTCCATAACTTTACATTTGCTCGTGTTGAATTCTAGTAGCCATTTCTCTGACCATCTCTGCAATCTGTTCAGGTCCTCTTGGAGGATCCTGCAATCCTCATCTGTCACAACTCTTCTCATCAACTTTGCATCATCCGCAAACATCGACATGTAGGACTCTACGCCTGTAAACATGTCGTTAACATATACAAGAAATAGAATTGGTCCCAGCACCGATCCTTGTGGTACTCCACTTGTTACTGTTCGCCAGTCCGACTTCTCGCCCCTTACCGTAACTCTTTGGCTCCTTCCTGTTAGGTAGTTCCTTATCCATTCTAGGACCTTTCCCCCCACCCCCGCCTGCCTCTCGAGCATGAACAGCAGTCTCATGTGCGGTACTGTATCAAAGGCTTTTTGGCAGTCCAGAAATATGCAGTCTGCCCAACCATCTCTGTCCTGTCTTATCCTCGTTATTTTATCATAGAATTCCAGAAGGTTTGTTAGGCACGATTTCCCTGTCCAGAACCCATGTTGATGTTTGTTCACAAACCTAATGTTCTCCAGGTGTGCAACCAGTCGTAGCCTAATTATTCTTTCCAGTATTTTACAGGGGATGCTTGTCAGTGATACAGGTCTGTAGTTAAGTGCCTCCTCCCTATCTCCTTTCTTGAAGATCGGCACGACATTTGCCTTCTTCCAGCAACTGGGCAATTCTCCTGACATAAGTGACTCATTAAAGATCATTGCCAGAGGCACGCTGAGGGCCTGTGCTGCTTCTTTTAGTATCCACGGTGATACTTTGTCTGGTCCAACTGCTTTAGTTGCATCTAGAGTTGTCAACTGTTTCATTACCTCCTCTGCTGTCACCTCTATATCTGATAGTCTTTCATCTAGGGTAACCCCTTCCAACAATGGGAGCTGCTCAGGCTCGGTAGTGAACACTCCATGGAAACTGGCATTCAGTGCCTCGCAGATTTCCTTGTCACTTTCAGTATATGCCCCCTCTGTCTTCCTTAGTCTTGTCACTTGGTCGTTCACCGACATTTTTCTTCTTATATGACTGTGTAGTAACTTAGGTTGTTTTTTCGCTTTGATTGCAATATCGTTCTCATAGTCCCTTTCCGATGTTCGTCTTATGTTAATGTAATCGTTCCTAGCTCTGTTGTATCTGCTTATGTTGTCCTCTGTTCTTTGTCTTCTGTACTTCCTCCACTCCCGTCTGCTGGCCATTTTTGCTTCCTGACACTGTCTATTAAACCATGGGTTATTATATTCCTTCTTATTTTTTCCATTTACCGTTGGTATAAATCTCTCTTCGGCCTCCTGGCATTTCTGTATGACTAGGTCCATCATATCTTGGACTGTTTTTCCTCTAATTTCTTCCTCCCACTGCACTTCACCCAGATAGTCCCTTATCCTCATATAGTCCCCTTTCCTGTAGTCAGCTCTCCTTTCCCAGATCTCTTGTCCCATGGTCATAAGTTTGAATTCCATCATGTAGTCAAAGACTAGGACACAATGGTCACTGGCCCCTAGAGGTATTTCATGCTCTAAATTCTCGATATCTTCTACGTTCTGGGTGAAAATCAGGTCTAATAGGCTCGGTGCATCTCCTCCTCTTTCCCTTGTGTCTTCCTTCACATGTTGTGTCAGGAAATTCCTGTCTATAACATCTACTAATTTTGCTCCCCACGTTTCGTCCCCTCCATGTGTGTGTGTGTGTGTGTGTGTGTGTGTGTATGTGTGTGTGTGTGTGTGTGTGTGTGTGTGTGTGTGTGTGTGTGTGTGTGTGTGTGTGTGTGTGTATGTGTGTGTGTGTGTGTGAGTGTGTGTAAAGTCAGGCTTGGCAGGAAGGTATTACCTGAACGGTAGGCAGAGCCCTGACCCAATTCTTATGATTCATTCTAAGCGTTTTTAACTTTGGTCTTTACCAGCTGTTGGAAAAATTGTTCGAATAAAAATAATTGAATAGTAATACAATTATTAGTGGGTATAAATGGGAGCCTGGTATAGGCCAATAGGCCTTCTGTAGTTCTTATTTATATCCACCTAATTCCCATTCATTTTTCATTGTACCTCACTTCCCTTCACCTCTCTCTCCTGCCTATATATACGTCCAATACTTGACTTGTAAATCATTCCTTCTAAAGATGTATTAATATACGAAAGTACTTAAGGAAATTCCTGTTTCAATTATCCTCCGTGGTCTGACACTGTCACATTTTTCATCACGTGTTAATTTTCGTGATTTACACACACACACAAATATATATATATATATATATATATATATATATATATATATATATATATATATATATATATATATATATATATATTTGTGTGTGTGTACTCACCTAGTTGTACTCACCTAGTTGTGTTTGCGGGGGTTGAGCTCTGGCTCTTTGGCCCCGCCTCTCAACCGTCAATCAACAGGTGTACAGATTCCTGAGCCTATCGGGCTCTGTCATATCTACATATCTGTCTGTATGTGTGTGTGTGTACATATACACATGTTGTAAGGCTCGGCCCCTGTGCCACACTTTAAGAACTATCGGCACCTACAAGGACTCCCCCCCCCCCTCCAACTACCACCACCACCTCTGCGATTTTCATAAAGTCTGAAATAAAATCAGGCGTTGAACTTTGATGCTTACTGCCGCCGGTTCGTGTCCCTCGCTCACTACATTATTATATGTCCAGTTAATACACACTTCAGACCTGCTGGTATGGGGCTCCCGGAGCTCTGCACACGAGGAGAGAGAGGGAGGAGAGGAGAGTATAGAAGGAATGAGGGGGAGAAGAGGAAGGAGGAGAGGGAGAGGAATGAGTGGAGAAAGAGTGCGTAGAAGGGTAAAAAAGAGGAGGAAGAGAATGGGATGAGAGAGGGAAGAGATTCGGGAGATGGGCGAAGAATGTGAAAAGGGTGAAGGGGAAGAGATGGAGCGGAGGAGAGGCGGGACAAAGGGAGAATGGGTGAGAGAGACCCGGGCACCGCCAGGTACTCCATTTAAGTTGTATATACATATAATTTATATTTAAAAAATGCGTTTTTAATTACACAGTTCTGAACGGTTAGCGCATGTGCGCTGGGGTGTAGAGTGACCGCTTGGATGAGCAGTGTCTGTGGTTGCTCTGGGCCTTCCTGCAGCTCGGACGAGCATTTCCTGAAAATGAGCCGAGGTCTGCGACAGCTTAGACAAGCCTGTCCCGAAGAATGATAGGTTTTAGCCACCGCTTGGAGGAGCCGGGCCTGAGGATGGGTTGGGCGGACCGAGTGTACAAGACGGGAGTAGAGCCACTCACATATCGCTGATGTGTGACGTTAGGAGGGAGAGAGGGAGGGGGTGGGGGAGAGCCTGGTAATGTCTGGTGCACCATAACGGGCCCAGAGATGGCTTATCACCAAGCCAGCTCATGTCCCCCGGCTTAGAGGAAGGTTTGTTTAAGGGTATTACAGTGATAAATACAGCAGTAAGCTACCTACTGAACATAGCTTTGATATAAGATGCTGCGCTGGAGACGTTATTGGGCCCTCTCGTGTTACATCTGACCAGGCAGGGGGATGCTGCAGTCGCGCTCTCTCTCTCTCTCTCTCTCTCACTCTCCCTGGGCCTTCCCTAGTCATACGATGTTATTCAGTCCTGACACCGCGGGTAATCTTAGGAGACTTCGTGTCTCTTGTCCCATGTTCTTCGTGTCCTGGTATTGCCGTCTCTGGCGGTAGTTTATGGAGCAGGGGTGGTCGTCGTGGGAGTGCTCGCGCGGGAACCATTACACAGGGCACACGAGGCTTTTATCACACCTCAGCCGGCATTTTCACATCAATAATTACACCTAATCTTCACACCTTATAATCATAAAGACTGCGATTAACGAAAAATTGTCCCTGCAAACAGGTATGTATTTATAATGTGTTATTATACTCTAGAGTTAAGGCTTTCTCTTGGGGCATAGAAATATTTTCAATATTGGACATTATAGGATAATGGCGGCGGTGCTGTTCTGGATTCTTAGTCTCCACTTTACACAGCTTTTTGTCCGTTTGTATTTTTCTGTTCTTAATTGTTGTCCTCTTGTGTCCTCTGGTGATGCTTGTTGTCCTCTTGTGTCCTCTGGTGATGCTTGTTGTCCTCTTGTGTCCTCTGGTGATGCCTGTGGTCCTCTTGTGTCCTCTGGTGATGCTTGTGGTCCTCTTGTGTCCTCTGGTGATGCTTGTGGTCCTCTTGTGTCCTCTGGTGATGCTTGTGGTCCTCTTGTGTCCTCTGGTGATGCTTGTGGTCCTCTTGTGTCCTCTGGTGATACTTGTGGTCCTCTTGTGTCCTCTGGTGATGCTTGTTGTCCTCTGGTGATGCTTGTTGTCCTCTTGTGTCCTCTGGTGATGCTTGAGGTCCTCTTGTGTCCTCTGGTGATGCTTGGGGTCCTCTTGTGTCCTCTGGTGATGCTTGTTGTCCTCTGGTGATGCTTGTTGTCCTCTTGTGTCCTCTGGTGATGCCTGTGGTCCTCTTGTGTCCTCTGGTGATGCTTGTGGTCCTCTTGTGTCCTCTGGTGATGCTTGTGGTCCTCTTGTGTCCTCTGGTGATGCTTGAGATCCTCTTGTGTCCTCTGGTGATGCTTGAGGTCCTCTTGTGTCCTCTGGTGATGCTTGTTGTCCTCTGGTGATGCTTGTTGTCCTCTTGTGTCCTCTGGTGATGCCTGTGGTCCTCTTGTGTCCTCTGGTGATGCTTGTGGTCCTCTTGTGTCCTCTGGTGATGCTTGAGGTCCTCTTGTGTCCTCTGGTGATGCTTGAGGTCCTCTTGTGTCCTCTGGTGATGCTTGTTGTCCTCTTGTGTCCTCTGGTGATGCTTGTGGTCCTCTTGTGTCCTCTGGTGATGCTTGAGGTCCTCTTGTGTCCTCTGGTGATGCTTGAGGTCCTCTTGTGTCCTCTGGTGATGCTTGAGGTCCTCTTGTGTCCTCTGGTGATGCTTGTTGTCCTCTGGTGATGCTTGTTGTCCTCTTGTGTCCTCTGGTGATGCCTGTGGTCCTCTTGTGTCCTCTGGTGATGCTTGTGGTCCTCTTGTGTCCTCTGGTGATGCTTGTGGTCCTCTTGTGTCCTCTGGTGATGCTTGAGGTCCTCTTGTGTCCTCTGGTGATGCTTGAGGTCCTCTTGTGTCCTCTGGTGATGCTTGAGGTCCTCTTGTGTCCTCTGGTGATGCTTGAGGTCCTCTTGTGTCCTCTGGTGATGCCTGTGGTCCTCTTGTGTCCTCTGGTGATGCTTGTGGTCCTCTTGTGTCCTCTGGTGATGCTTGTGGTCCTCTTGTGTCCTCTGGTGATGCTTGAGGTCCTCTTGTGTCCTCTGGTGATGCTTGAGGTCCTCTTGTGTCCTCTGGTGATGCTTGTTGTCCTCTGGTGATGCTTGTTGTCCTCTTGTGTCCTCTGGTGATGCCTGTGGTCCTCTTGTGTCCTCTGGTGATGCTTGTAGTCCTCTTGTGTCCTCTGGTGATGCTTGGGGTCCTCTTGTGTCCTCTGGTGATGCTTGTAGTCCTCTTGTGTCCTCTGGTGATGCTTGTTGTCCTCTTGTGTCCTCTGGTGATGCCTGTGGTCCTCTTGTGTCCTCTGGTGATGCTTGTAGTCCTCTTGTGTCCTCTGGTGATGCTTGGGGTCCTCTTGTGTCCTCTGGTGATGCTTGTTGTCCTCTTGTGTCCTCTGGTGATGCCTGTGGTCCTCTTGTGTCCTCTGGTGATGCTTGTAGTCCTCTTGTGTCCTCTGGTGATGCTTGAGGTCCTCTTGTGTCCTCTGGTGATGCTTGGGGTCCTCTTGTGTCCTCTGGTGATGCTTGTTGTCCTCTGGTGATGCTTGTGGTCCTCTTGTGTCCTCTGGTGATGCTTGTAGTCCTCTTGTGTCCTCTGGTGATGCTTGGGGTCCTCTTGTGTCCTCTGGTGATGCTTGTTGTCCTCTTGTGTCCTCTGGTGATGCTTGTAGTCCTCTTATGTCCTCTGGTGATGCTTGGGGTCCTCTTGTGTCCTCTGGTGATGCTTGGGGTCCTCTTGTGTCCTCTGGTGATGCTTGTTGTCCTCTTGTGTCCTCTGGTGATGCTTGTAGTCCTCTTATGTCCTCTGGTGATGCTTGGGGTCCTCTTGTGTCCTCTGGTGATGCTTGTTGTCCTCTGGTGATGCTTGTGGTCCTCTTGTGTCCTCTGGTGATGCTTGTGGTCCTCTTGTGTCCTCTGGTGATGCTTGTAGTCCTCTTGTGTCCTCTGGTGATGCTTGGGGTCCTCTTGTGTCCTCTGGTGATGCTTGTTGTCCTCTTGTGTCCTCTGGTGATGCTTGGGGTCCTCTTGTGTCCTCTGGTGATGCTTGTGGTCCTCTTGTGTCCTCTGGTGATGCTTGTAGTCCTCTTGTGTCCTCTGGTGATGCTTGGGGGTCCTCTTGTGTCCTCTGGTGATGCTTGTTGTCCTCTTGTGTCCTCTGGTGATGCTTGGGGTCCTCTTGTGTCCTCTGGTGATGCTTGGGGGTCCTCTTGTGTCCTCTGGTGATGCTTGTTGTCCTCTTGTGTCCTCTGGTGATGCTTGTGGTCCTCTTGTGTCCTCTGGTGATGCTTGGGGTCCTCTTGTGTCCTCTGGTGATGCTTGTGGTCCTCTTGTGCCGTGTCATATTATCTGCTTCAGTGCATCTGTGGTTTGTTACACTATCTTTGCCAAATATTTCAACAGCGATTTCGTGGGTCTTTTGTTGCAAGACGTTTTGCTTCAGCTATAAGTCATCGGTGGCTGTGTCTACCATGATAATCACGGCGCCTTTCCAGCTGGACATAAGAAGAAAGGTAAATCTGTCCTCCTGAATACGAGGGTAAACATTGTTTGTCTTCCGTGATGCATTTCAGGGAATTTTCTGTGCATTGTCAGCGTTGATTGTGTCGCAAATTATCTTACGTGAGGGTGAGTGTCTGCTGTAGAGGTGGTCGAGTGTTGCAGACGCTGGTGCTGGTGTGTGTTAGTGCTGGTCTGCGAGGGTTATTCTCACCTCAACTTCTGCTCTTTGTCTTTCCCTCCAGAGCAGATTGTGCTCCAGGCAGTGCGTGTGTGTGTGTCTTGACCTGAACATGAGGCTATTCTGACCTGGTTTGTCCTTGTGGTTGCTTATAGTCTTTGGCTGGACTTATCACACTCCCCATTTACACGTTGTACTAACTTTGGTCGAAGGTTAATGTTTGACATCTGACGCAGCGCAGGAGTTCTGGTATTTATGGTCTGTGCTGCGGGTTCCTCCAATTTCAAAAGGTAAATGTTTCTGACACCTGTCCTGTTATGGTCGCCAGAAACTGGCGTGGTTCCGCTTTTCTTTCTCTCTGAGGCATCGTTCCGCTTGCCAGAATTGTTATTGGATTCAGGAAGAAGCCAACTTGGCGTCCCAAAATATCTGTGACTCGTGTGCACCTTTCTGGCGGGTTCACACTTAACAAGCGAATGAGTGTCTCCTGTAGGTCAGTTTGTGTCTATATGAAACTTGCAGTGTGTTGGTCGGGTGATATTTCTTTTTTCAAGGCGACATTAATGGATATATTGAGTCCTGGTTGTGTAGGTACCATTACTATTATTACTCCAGATGTTGTAGGAACATCTTCTGGCAACATTATGTTGAACTGTGGATGTTGTCAAGTGTGTGACACCGGTGGTGTGTGTGTGTGTGACATGTGCTGTCCTCTCCTGTCTCATACTGTTTTCCTCTGGCTGGATTGAAGACAGAGGAACAGTGATTGGTGTGACAGATGCTGTCCACCCGTCTTCCACAAAGTCTTATTCCATGCTGGTGGAGAGATCTGTGTAGCCTCAACAACACTTATGTGAGTGTTGTACACCAGTGTATTATCACTTCTCGTATTATGTCTCTGTCATCTGCCACACTTCTCTCTTTCTTCCTTATAGCTGTTGAGTGTAGTAAGGTCGTGCCTAAAGCCTCAACACTCGTTGGACTGGAAATATTCCCCTCCATCCTAGAAGTGGCAACACGGATCCCCCCTTCAGGTGAATTCATAGCTATTTAACACTAAAAATAATATTGATCTACCTTTTCCCTGACAGATTAAGTACATCATTTATGATGCCCCTTTGTCGCACTGCCCGCAGTGTTCACCTCGCCTCTTCAGCTCAGCACTCTGAAAGATCAGGTCAGTAACAGTCCTTAATTGACAGCAAACATATCTTAGTCACAGACACTTAGCGTCTCCTCCGTCACGCACGTTTAGGTCTCACTAGAGCGTATAAGACCACTTACCTCAGACAGCCACTCAGAAATAGGTTTTACTAGGCGAAAGCGACAATTTTCCATTCCAAACAAGGAATTCTCCGAGTCGTGGAGTACTAATGGTTATATCCTAACAATCATTTGAGCTTATGGTTACTTAGAGACTTGACTATAGAGGGAAGGTTCCTGCAGCACGCGGCCGGCTGTACCCGAGGCGCCACCAGCTACCAGGAAAATGACAATATTGAATTAAGCGTCCATGGGACCACCACTACGACCCACTCTCACTGTCGTAGCCCCGGTAAGGAGGGGGCGAGGGGAGGTGGAGTCTACATTAAAGGGGAAACTGTGGAAGAGGAGTAAGAGGAAGCGATGTGGGTTGCTGGGGGGGGGGGAGCTCGGCCGGCCGCTTAAGCTACTAATGGCCAATAAGACCGTCCTCCAACTGCCCTGTGTGGGTGATTTACAGCCGTGTTGGCACGGGTAACGATCTCTCGCCAGAGTTTCAGAGAGACAGTTAGAGACAAAGTGGGATTTTAAGAGTCTCCAATAGCCGCCCAAATCTGGACTAAACTATGTCATTTTGTACGAGTCAAGGACAGCCTGCAGGAACCTACAAGAGCCTATAGTACGAGAGCCTACTCCAGCCTACAATAACCTGTTCAAATCCTCGACAGCCTGCACGAGTCTGTGAGTACTTGCTCTAGTCCTCGAAAGCTTGCACGAGTCTACGAAATCCTATATGACTCTACGAGAGGTTGCACGAGTCTACGAGATATTATATGAATCTGCACGTGATTGTACGAGTCTGCACGTGATTGTACGAGTCTGCACTAGACTGTACGAACCTGTACGAGTCTCACGTGACTGTATGAACCTGAACGAGTCTGCACAAGACGGAACGAACCTGTACGAGTCTGTTCGTGACTGTACGAACCTGTACGAGCATGCACGTGACTGTACGAGCCTGCACGTGACTGTACGAACCTATACGAGTCTGTACGTGACTGTACGTGGCAGCACGAACCTATACGAGTATGCACGTGACTGTGCGAACCTGTACGAGGCTGCACGTGACTGTACGAACCTGTACGAGCCTGCACGTGACTGTACGAACCTGTACGAGCCTGCACGTGACTGTACGAACCTGTACGAGTATGCACGTGACTGTACGAACCTGTACGAGGCTGCACGTGACTGTACGAACCTGTACGAGCCTGCACGTGACTGTACGAACCTGTACGAGCCTGCACGTGACTGTACGAACCTGTACGAGCCTGCACGTGACTGTACGAACCTGTACGAGGCTGCACGTGACTGTACGAACCTGTACGAGCCTGCACGTGACTGTACGAACCTGTACGAGTATGCACGTGACTGTACGAACCTGTACGAGCCTGCACGTGACTGTACGAACCTGTACGAGTCTAATAACATTTCAGAGGTCTGCTTGCATGAGTTTATATTAAGACTCCAGGCAAATATTGGAGATTAATTAATTCGAGATTTCAAATATTCCAGACTAGTCCCGGAACTGACAGGTATGAGCTACGAGGAAAAATTCCTGGAATTAAATCTCAAGTCATTGAAAAACAGAAGCGTTAGGGGAGACATGATTACTACATACTAGATTCTCAGAGGAGGTGATAGGGAAAAGAAAAGTCGATTATATTAGGATAGGAGGAACATGAACAAGGGGACATACGTGGAAACTAAGAATCTAAATTCTTGCCTTGTGATTAAGTGGACTGAGTATGGGGGGTCGTAGTCCTAATGGTCCCGGTTCGATTCCCGGTGGAGACGGAAACAGATGGGCAGAGTTTCTTTCACCTTGATGCTTCTGTTCATATAGCAGTAAATAGGTACCTGGGAGTTAGACAGCTGCTGCGGGTTTCTTCCTGGAGATGTGTGTGCGTGTACTCACCTTATTGTATTCACCTAATTGTGCTTGCGGGGGTTAAGCTCTGGCTCTTTGGTCCCGTCTCTCTCAACTGTCAATCAACTGGTGTACAGATTCCTGAGCCTAATGAGCTCTATCATATCTACACTTGAAACTATGTATGGAGTCAGCCTCCACCACATCACTTCCTAATGCATTCCATCTGTTAACTACTCTGACACTGAAAAAGTTCTTGCTAACGTCCCTGTGGCTCAAGTGAGTACTCAGTTTCCACCTGTGACCCCTTGTTCTCGTCTCACCTGTGTTAAACAGTTTATCTTTATCTACCCTGTCAATTCTAGAGAATTTTGTAGGTAGTGATCATGTCTTCCCTTACTCTTCTGTCTTCCAGTGTCGTGAGGTGCATTTCCCGCAGCCTTCCTTCGTAACGCATGCCTCTTAGTTCTCGGACTAGCCTAGTGGCATACCTCTGAAATTTTTCAAGCTTCGTCTTGTGCTTGACAAGGTACGGGCTCCATGCTGGGGCCGCATACTCCAGGATTGGTCTTACATATGTGGTATACAAGGTTCTGAATGATTTCTTAAATAGGTTCTTGAAGGCAGTTCTGATGTTAGCCAGCCTTGCATACGCCGCAGATGTTATTCATTTGATGTGGCCTTCAGGAGACAGGGTTAGTGTGATATCAACTCCTAGATCTTTCTCTCTGTCCGTTTCATGAAGGACTTCATCTCCCATTCTGTATCCTGTGTTTGGCCTCCTGTTTCCACTGCCTTGTTTCATTACCTTACATTTACTCGGGTTGAGCTTTAGTAGCCATTTTTTTGACCATTCATTCAGTCTGTCTAGGTCTTCTTGTAGCCTCATACTGTCTTCCTCCGTCTTAATCCTCCTCATAAGTTTTGCATCACCAGCAAACAATGAGGGGAATGATTCTATACCATCTGGAAGATCATTTACATATATAAGAAATAGTATTGGTCCAAGGACTGAACCCTGCGGGACCCACTGGTGATGTGTCGCCAATCTGAGACCTCACCGCTCACAGTGACTCGCTGTCTTCTGTTACTTAGGTACTCCCTTATCCAATGGAGTACCTTCCCTTTCACTCCTGCCTGCATCTCCAACTTTCGCACTAGTCTCTGGTGTGGCACTGTGTCAAAGCCTCTCTGGCAATCCAAAAATATGCAGTCTGCCCACCCCTCTCTTTCTTGCCTGATTCTTGTTGCCAGATCGTAGAATTAAATTAATCCTGTGAGGCATGACTTGCCATTCCTGAAACCATGTTGGTGTTGTGTCACAAAGTTCCTTCGCTCCAGATGATCCACTAGCGATTTTCGCACAATTTTCTCCATTAACTTGCATATGGCCTTTGTCACATCCAACTCTAGCAAAAGCTTCCTTACATCCCCACTGGTAATCTCAAATTCGTCTAGTAGTGCCTGGTTAACTATTCCTTCTCTTATCTCTGGAACGTCTCCTCCTTGCTCTAATGTGAAGACTTCCTGGAATTTCTTATTGAGTTCCTCGCACACTTCTTTGTCGTTTGTGGTGAATCTGTCTTCTCCTATCCTCACTTTCATTACCTGTTCCTTCACTGTTGTCTTTCTCCTGATGTGGCTGTGTAGTAATTTGGGTTAAGTCTTAGCTTTGCTACCTACCTTGAGGCTACCTTGAGGTGCTTCCGGGGCTTAGTGTCCCCGCGGCCCGGTCGTCGACCAGGCCTCCTGGTTGCTGGACTGATCAACCAGGCTGTTAGACGCGTCTGCTCGCAGCCTGACGTATGAGTCACAGCCTGGTTGATCAGGTATCCTTTGGAGGTGCTTATCCAGTTCTCTCTTGAACACTGTGAGGGGTTTGCCAGTTATGCCCCTTATGTGTAGTGGAAGCGTGTTGAACAGTCTCGGGCCTCTGATGTTGATAGAGTTCTCTCTCAGAGTACCTGTTGCACCTCTGCTTTTCAACGGGGGTATTCTGCACATCCTGCCATGTCTTCTGGTCTCATGTGGTGTTATTTCTGTGTGCAGGTTTGGGACCAGCCCCTCAATTCTTTTCCACGTGTAAATTATTATGTATCTCTCCCGCCTGCGCTCAAGGGAGTACAGATTTAGGCTCTTTAGTCGGTCCCAGTAATTTAGATGTTTTACTGAGTGGATTCTAGCAGTAAAGGATCTCTGCACGCTCTCTAGGTCAGCAATTTCTCCAGCTTTGAAAGGGGCTGTCATTGTGCAGCAGTACTCCACTCTAGATAGCACAAGCGTTTTGAAAAGTATCATCATCGGTATAGCATCTCTAGTG